GTCACATTAAACCCCCATTTTGGTAACCGGAGTACCGATTTCCATACTTTTAATTCTGTATTTTTATAACCCAACGAAAACAATTTTCACTCGTTGCATATTAGTACAAGTATAAACTTTCGCTCTATCATTCTTATTTAACAACTTAGAAGAAGGTTGTTGGCAGAAAATGATTCGTTATCGATTACAATAAACTCCATTCCTATTAATTTTATTTATTATATCATCGTTTCGCTACACGTAGGAACGATTAATATTGTAAATCTGATTTGACGATTTATAGACTAGATTTTCCGTCGTTAGCACCAGCTGCGTTCGGGAACGAAGGATAAACGAAGAAAAGTGAGTGGTCGTTAGGCTAGATAGATCGGAACCAAGAGAATGGATCAATTAAATCCAGGTTCCTCTTCTGGCCAGCAATTTCCTAAGGCTAGCACGCTAGGCTAGACAATCTGGGCCGAGGAAATTCAATTTTCTTACTTACGACTCTTATCGATCGCTGCTCGTGTTACATTACCTATCATTGTGGAAATATACTGATTGTTTAACATCACGATAGGCAACAATATGCCAATTATGGGACAACGTACTTAAAAAATTTCACCCTCGAATGTTTTCTGTTCAAACAGACTCTCGACGTCCCCTGCTTTATTTCACGCAGTTCTGAAAACAAATTTACATAGTGCACGATCCATCTGTTATGTTTACTCTATATCTTCGTGTTCAGATTCTAGAAACTGTAAGTCACGTTGGGGGAATAAAGAAAATTGTAAATAACTATAAAAGTTTTAAACCCCCGGGCGGTAAAGAGCCAAAAAATAAGAAACCAATTATATTCGACGATGTAAATAAATAGAAAAATAAATTTTGAAAAGTTCTTTCGCGATTTTATAGTGATTACTATCGTAGGAATAACACGGGGCCGCGATCTTTCGACATCTTCCGTTGCTCCATCGTGTGAATATTCAAATAACTTGGACTAGGTCGGTAGACGTGGATTTTCTAAATATTTGGCCAAGTATGTTTATCGACGTGTTCATGGTAGCTACATACATACGTGGTAGAGAGTAACAAGCTCAGACATAACTGTATACACGAGAAGGGTCGAGGGGAGAAAAGAGACAGGGATAGCGGATAGGCAGCTTGCTAGATCCGTCGCTAAAAATACGCGTCGCAGCAAACTCAAGGGTGACGTCCACTATATAGACACGACGTATTTAGCTGCCCTTAGTTATTGCATTTTCATTTTTCTTCTTTCCAGTTGTTGTTTAAAACTGACTTTCCTTTAAAACAGATTCCACGCAGGGCTGTACCTTTCGTGCTCGAGGAGTTCTCTAAAATTGTACTTGTTGTTCGTGAAACACATTTGCAGAAGTTTAGATGTCGTAAATTGGGATAACTCTGCCACGACAGTGGTGGACCCAAGTATTGGCACAGTACGCGATTTGGTATAAAATCGTTAAAAACTATCGAGAAAATTATTTGTTTCGCTTTTTTTTTGTATGTATCTTTATTTACAATATCTCATTTACCTGTACACAAAGGCAGAAAATCTGTTTTATTGTCATCTGATACCTGGACAAAAGTTTTGGCACATTTTATATAACACCGTATTAAACTATAATTTAATATTTTCTAACATTTCCTCTTCATTTCACTATTTCTTTTAATCTATTTGACATAGAATGGAACAACTTCTTTGTTAAATCTGATTTTAGACCATTCTGCTGAAATTATTTGTTCTAATTTCGATTTATTCGAAACGTCGTGTTTACGAATATTTTTTTCCAATTGACATCAAATATTTTCAATTTGATTAGGATCCGGTCTTTGGGGAGGTGTTTTTAGTAGTTACTAACTGACTAACTAACTAACTGACTAACTAACTAACTATCTAACAAACTAACTAACTAACAGCAAACTAACTAACTAACTCATATACTAATTATGTAACAGACAAACTCACTGACAAACTAACTAACTAGCTAACTCACTTACTAAATAGGGGAGGTGTTTTTAAAGTGTGTCCTGTGTTGTAAACAATCTGTATATGCCATATATGCAGGTGCACTATCTTGCTGAAAATAAAAGTTTGCTGGTAACTTTAATTTTTCTGCACTTTTCTTTAAATTTCCTTTTAAGATATTTAAATAAGATTTGACTGAGTCTTCGATGAACCCTAGTTCCCCAAGTCCGGATGAGAACATACACCCCCATATACAGACTCCACCACCTCCATATTTGACAATAGCTTTGGAGGTTCTTCGCGTTCAATTCGGTATTATGTTTCCTTCACACTAATACCCACCCATCCGATTTGAAAATATTAAATTTACATTCATCAGAGAACAAAGCTTGGCCCCAAAAGTAATTATCATTGTTCAAAAATTCTTTTGCAAACTCTAATCGTTTCTTTTTGTTCACTTCACTGGTGTACGGTTTTCTTCGAGCGACGCATGCAGAATATCCAGCACTGTTAGAAATTCTATGAACTGATATTTTTATCATAATCTTTTGCAAATAGTGTTGCAATTTCTGAAGAATTTATTCGCGAATTTTGTTTTATTATATTAATTATTTTCCTTTTCTATCTTTTCTCCTACCTCTGAATAAGATTTGCCTTGCTCATATAACTTAAATATTATTTTTCTTCTTTCTGGTTTAGATTCTTTCTTTCCTTGACATTTTCAAAAGAATCGTGAAAACAACAATTAGAAACACAATCAGATTCGCAGACAACAATTGAAATGACTGTTTGAACAAGAAACTAACACTATATTTCCCAAAAAGTGTAAATAAAGATTTTCAAATGTCTGCCACTACTTTTGCCCAGGTATCAGACTTTCATTAATTACATGATTTCTATTTTATTAATTTTGTTCTGCCTTTGTGTTCAGATAAATGAGATATTGTAAATAAAGATACGTACAAAAAAGAAGCGATGCAAACAATTTTTCTAATATCTTTTAACGTTTTTATATCAAATCGCGTAATGATTATGTCGACCACTGTGTAACCGTGACATAAATTGCTTTCGATGTCGATAAACCACTGACCAAGGAATACGATTCTCCAAAAGATCGAATCAGCCAATGATGTCAACGCAAAGAGACAATATAAACCGACGATTATCTCGCTCGTCGTCGGAGCGAGTGGTATTTCGTACGAACGATGCACCGATCGAAACCTCTTACAATTCGTCGTACAATTGTGATACCTTGTGCCCGTCGGAGAACAGTTATTTCTACTCTTCGTGCCAAGATACCAACAGGTTCCAACCGAACGATAGGTCAGCCCTTCGTCTGCCGATCCTCGACGACGAACAACGATACAACGTATGCACTGGTTCGAAACCCAGTGGCCAAAAACAGGACAGAAACAGTTTGGAACTCGATCAACGATCCAGCCGTCGTTCCAGCGTGCAATCCAATCGTTCGAGGATAAACAATTGCAACAGAGCAACGCCGTTAGGTAGGAAACAATCGAGTCATCAGACTTTTCGATCGATGGGGAAACGGACGCAGTTTGTTACCGCACACGTTCAGTGACGTAATAACGATTCCGCGTTCGCGGATTAATTGTATCGACCAGTCGATGGCGAACAGTACGAAACGCAGGTGTCCAGCAATTAAAAGAAATAATAATTGCCCCGAGGAGAAGGTGCAATTTTTCAGTTTCGATTCGTGATTCCACAATTTAATAACAGGAAGATTGCAGCGGGGCTTGAATTGATTAGAAAATAATTTGCTCGACTTTATTCAACGTGTTCAGTGTGTTCTACAAGTAAAACTGAGTATAAAAAAAAAATCCCTAGATGCTTTGTTAAGAAGTTATAACAAAAATATGAACTGTGAAACTCAGAATGAGATTCAGGACATTAAAATAGGGGAAAAAATTAATAATAAAATGAAATCAATCTTTTGCGAGCATTCGATATCGTGAGTTTCTTTGCAATTTATTGAATATAAACTGGAACGATAATTCAAAATTTTATGACAGCAAGAGGTTATCATCGAAGAAAGAATACTTCAGCTCCCAAGATAAATGATAGAAACTAAACTCTGATAAAGAAATGTTTAAATTCTCCGCATAATTCTACGTTGAAATTATTTTTTCGTTCCTCAAGTAGCAGTTGCTCTCTTTAACACTAGAACTATCAAACCAGTCAAAATGACCCATTCGTAATTTCTAATAAAAACAGTAAAAAAATTACTCGGCTGAATTTTTGGAAATTTACCATAATTTTCTATAAGAGAATGAATAAACACTTATTTCCATTGCATTATACATTTCCTCACGTACCTATCGTTTCAATTTTCTTGGTACAAATAAACACTTTATAACTGTCGATAGTTCTAGTGTTAAACAAAATTTTAGTAAATAAAAGAACTTTAACATTTATTTAATTTTTTTGCTATATAACACTTTAGTCTTATCTTTACTTGTAGAACACACTGCTGAATTGTGTACGGAAAAACGCGGAACACCCTGTATATTTATTTACAATCTTTGCGATTTATTCCGCCTTAAAGTATAGCGTCTTTTGTCGTTGGGAAAAGTCTAAAAATTGCTGGTAACACAAAATGTCGTTATAAATCTTGGGTATAACTTTGTCAGGAAATTAAAGGAAGTACAGTAATACCCCGAACAATGCTCCGAATCCGTACTTCGCCGAGACATTTTCCGAGAAACTATTCCAGGAATTGGCTGCCGTTATCTGTCTCCGACTTGATCGCCTTTGTGTTCATTGGGGACGAGAGTGAGAACAGTGAGAGCAGATACGGCGAGCCACAAAAAATAAATGCATACGAATCACGTAATCGATAATAATTAAAGTACAAAAATTGTTTGCTCGGTGTAATTTAGAAAAAAAAAAATAGAAGAAATAGCTCGAACAAAAATATTGAAGGAACGATGATTCGAATAGGTCTAAGCGATATCGGAAACAACTGAAATAACGAAATTGAACGGTCAGAGTAACTTGAGAATATGGTCTCCAGGCAATGGTAGAAGAAATAGCTTGAGCAGGACAACGAGACCACGAAGAGCAAGCACGTCTCGTAGGAGGGATTCCGTTCAGCCTATAAAAACCGAGATAAAGGAAGTGGAAAAGGTCGCGGAAAGCGTTCAGGATTTGGAGGAAGCGAGACGCCATCGAAGAATCACCGTGATCATCCTGGGAACGTTTCTTTTCCTCCTGGTGGCGGCGGTTCTCGCCGTGGTAGTTACTTTAACGCACAGCACATTCTCAAGATCCGCCGTTGGCTCGAAGGAACACCGACTTTCATGTAAATAACGATTTCAAAATAATTTCGCGGTTAAATCCGATGTTTATTAACGACGAGAAAACGAGAAATGGGAATACGTGTTTCGGTAAATGTGATTTTCTTTCAGAGATGCTTCTAATAACAATATTAAAAATGATAGTTCTTTAAAAATAAAATACTAAAGCAAACTGTTTTTAGTAAATAACAACCTTTAAATTCATGAAAAAAGATATTTGCGATGTTATTCGATCCCAAGACTCGTAACTTTCGAAAACAATGTAAAGAAGACCTTCACGAACAGACTTCCACAGGAAAAATGTATTCCGTTTATGATTATTTTCTTTTCAAGTTGCGTGCACGTTTCTTTTGACATTGCATCTATCCTACAAAGTTCCAAGAATACGTACAAACTCATTGTTTATGACAGAAATAGTTAAAGAGCGACTGTTTCACAAAGTTCTGTTTGAGATTGATCGGACTTTCTACACCCACTGTACGTTTATTCTTGTCTATGATGTTTTGGAATGTTCGAGCCGACATAATGATTTTCCGCACCTATTTCGCATAAATGCCTTAGTATGTGCGACCGTGAACGACGCTCGAGGAAGAGTAAGGGTAGCGTTCAACTATTATATCCGCCATTTCTCCCCCCGGTTCGCCACGAGTGTTTCTATAACCTGGCTAAAGGGTAAATGTCTCTGTACTACCCCTTCTCCTTTCTTCGCAAACTCAAATAGCAAACGAAACGTTTAATCTTGACTTTAAAAATCGCTGACGTTTGCTGTGAACATTTAGGGTGTCCTCGAACTGGAGATTAAACATTAGGGGTGAAATAATAATGGTACATCAAATCACTTAGTTTCTTTGGAGTATGAATAAATGTTACAAGTTTGGAAAGAAAAAATATTGGTTTCCAGTCTCGTGCGATTTAACACTAGATTTAAATAAAAATTTAAAGTTCCTAGTATACATCTAGGGAAAAATTAATTGCATCAAATTGTGCATCCTTCAAAACCATTTAATTTTTATTTGTCAAATATTTATCAAGATATTTGAATGGTGAAAGTTTGTGAAACACTATATTGTAATTTTTTCAAAAATTTTTTTTTAGTGAAATTATTGACATGATGAGTTTAGCGTCCAACTATTATATCCGCCATTTCTCCCCCCAGTTCGCCACGAGTGTTTCTATAACCTGGCTAAAGGGTAAATGTCTCTGTACTACCCCTTCTCCTTTCTTCGCAAACTCAAATAGCAAACGAAACGTTTAATCTTTACTTTAAAAATCGCTGACGTTTGCTGTGAACATTTAGGATGTCCTCGAACTGGAGATTAAACATTAGGGGTGAAATAATAATGGTACATCAAATCACTTAGTTTCTTTGGAGTATGAATACTACGAGTTTGGAAAGAAAAAATATTGGTTTCGAGTCTCGTGCGATTTAACACTAGATTTAAATAAAAATTTAAAGTTCCTAGTATACATCTAGGGGAAAATTAATTGCATCAAATTGTGCATCCTTCAAAACCATTTAATTTTTATGTCAAATATTTATCAAGATATTTGAATGGTGAAAGTTTGTGAAACACTATATTGTAATTTTTTTCAAAAATTTTTTTTTAGTGAAATTATTGACATGATGAGTTTAGCGTCCAACTATTATATCCGCCATTTCTCCCCCCAGTTCGCCACGAGTGTTTCTATAACCTGGCTAAAGGGTAAATGTCTCTGTACTACCCCTTCTCCTTTCTTCGCAAACTCAAATAGCAAACGAAACGTTTAATCTTGACTTTAAAAATCGCTGACATTTGCTGTGAACATTTAGGGTGTCCTCGAACTGGAGATTAAACATTAGGGGTGAAATAATAATGGTACATCAAATCACTTAGTTTCTTTGGAGTATGAATACTACGAGTTTGGAATGAAAAAATATTGGTTTCGAGTCTCGGGCAATTTAACACTCGATTTAAATAAAAATTTAAAGTTCCTAGTATACATCTAGGGAAAAATTAATTGCATCAAATTGTGCATCCTTCAAAACCATTTAATTTTTATTTGTCAAATATTTATCAAGATATTTGAATGGTGAAAGTTTGTGAAACACTATATTGTAATTTTTTCAAAAATTTTTTTTTAGTGAAATTATTGACATGATGAGTTTAGCGTCCAACTATTATATCCACCATTTCTCCCCCCGGTTCGCCACGAGTGTTTCTATAACCTGGCTAAAGGGTAAATGTCTCGTACCCCTTCTCCCTTCCTCGCACGCAGCTCGAATTCAAGTAACAAAATCGCTATGAAATATATGGATATACATATGTAATTTATTGTATCGTGTCGCAACTAGGTCAGTCGGAAGTAGGTTAGACGTTTCGGAAGGTTACATTCGTTCTATCATGCGGTAGACGGCATAATGATTCTGCGCACATATGTTGCACACCCGTCAACCGCCTTAACGCGTCAGACCGAGATGTATGCGAAGAATGGGCAGGAAAGAGCATAACTTTAACTACAGACTAGCCATAGAAGAAACTGGACGCCCAATGGAAATTAGTGCCGATCAAACAAGCACTCCGCTCGTAAATTTTAATTGTTTTCGGAGTTTAACGCTACATTTGGGGAACTCGAATATTTCAGAGGTCTCAGATACCATACATGTGCTTATAGAGCTCGTAAATGCCATTTGTCAGCAATTTAAGTTTAATTTTATCGGTGCAATGATACGAATACACAAGTATTATTGTATAGTGAGTAAATATTAGTTTTTGGATCCATATGCCCTTATACTCTTTAAAAATTCAAGTACACGATCAGAACAATTATCTAAAGCACCATTCTGTGAAATCGAGCCACAAGTATTCGAACGATGATGTACTCCTAATTGAAATTTACACAAACTGTACGATATAATAAATATTTTGAAATTGTCGTATATTGTCGTGAGAATAACACTTAAAAATTCCATTTAAATTAAGTAACACGTGTCCGAGTTAGAAAGACTTATTAGATTTAATAGCATATCGTAGGTCACAAAAGTATTCGAGCTGTATATTTAACATTAGTTAATAGCAACATTAATTGTACTAATCAAACGTTTAGGATGAAACTGACCCTCCTATTGCTGTCAATTTCGATGCACAAGCAATTGGATCTTTTCTAATTTCTCGAATTACTGTCTTTTCTTCTCTCCCCGTTAACATTTTTGATCGACCACAGCAGTATTTATTTGCAATGATTTCTTCGTTATTCATAGTGAACCGTGGACTTACTCCTGTCTATAAGATTTTCCTTCTTTGTACCATTTTATTATCAATTCTCTCTCTGACTTTTTCCGATTCATTTTGCAAACAATTCGATTTTAAATAAATTGAACAGTGTTTTTCTTAGACCAATTGTGTATGAATGTTTGTTTACATTCGCCATTAGCTAGAAATATTATTAATACGACGGTTACCCTCACAGTTCGAACACTTTTGCGACCTACGATATTAAATCTAATAAAGTCTTTCTACCTCGAATACGTGTTGTTTGATTTCAATGAAATTTTTACATGTTATTCCCATATATTCCCCATATGCAACATATATGACAATTTCAAAATATTTACTATACTGTACGGTTTGTGTAAATTTTAATTGGGAATACGTCATCGTTCGAATACTTTCGCGAGCCTGTGTATATAATTTTCTCGAAAAAATTTGTATTTAACAGATTCCCGGTACAGTTGTACGCGTAGAATCGTCCTCTCTTTTTTTTTTTATTGTACCGCCATTTCCGCCGCGCTCGGTATAAGTAAATCATCTCCGGATTCATCGTTATCAAATGATTTACTGTTTCAGTGCGCAAGGAAAACGAGGAGCTGTTAAATTCTCTGAACAGAGATTTCACGGTCGAAAACACGACGATGCCTCCCTAAGGAAGACGTTTTCAGTTTCCAGGGCAGAACAATTGTTTCAAAGGAGTTCAAGAGCAAAAAAAAAAAGAAAAAAATAGAAGGAAGGAAGCGATAGTCCGGAAGAGAAGAAGAAGAAGCAAGGATCGCGACGAAGACTCGAATTCTTGGCGTCAGGATCGTCGCTTTTTCCTGAAAGCGGCCAGGTTTTAGTACGATTTACGATTGTCTTCGATAAATTTTAAACGCAAGAAGATATCGAGTTTAGTTAGTTAAGTGTTATTATGGTACACGGCTAACTTGTTGACTCCGCCGATGATACAAACTTCTAATTAGATCTGCAACATGGTAGAATAGATGCTGTAATTTTGTCCCGCCATTGTTCCCAAGGCATGTGAGCGCAAGAGATTTGTTACGATGATACGAAATTGTGTTATGCGTTTGCTCGCTGTACGGAAACTTCTGCTGAAAACGGGTACCCGAATCTGAATTTTGAAGAACCGATCGAAAAGAAGATTCGACGGCGAATCGATCGCTTTCGTACCGCGATGTTAAGGACGATGTTGAAAAAAATTGATCGTATATTGTATCTCGTCCTCCTTTCGTCTGAACTTAAATGTGTTGCAGCTCCTGTGATCAGTCGGAGGGGTAAGTCGCCATTTTACTTTTACGCGATCGATTAGAAAACTCAGACACACGGAAGCTGGACTGTTTTCACCGATTTTTGTTTGTTTCTCTGAAAAGCAGCAATAATATTTTGCTTTAAAGTTTTCCACCTGTAGAGTAAATTTTCCTAGAAATCATTGAAAACTACCAATTTCGGGGGACAATGTTTTTTCATAAAATTTCAGAAACTGCAAATGATGGGCTGCAACATATTTGCATCAACGCAAAACACCCCCACATCGAGTACGAACGTGATCGATTCGTCGCAAAATGGTACGTAAAATTGTTGAAAGAAGAGATCGAAATATAAATATTTTTGCAAAATAAAATAGTTCCGTTTTCATTCGAGTAGGGTGCTTGAGCTCCTGAGACAGACAATTTTAAAATGTAGCGTTTGTACCTGAAAATTGAATACATCTATCACGTTCGTTTCGCGATTCTAAATTCTAATTAATTTCAGACCACGTTATTTCAAAGTAAATAGTTTTACTAATCGATTCCTTCAGTCGCCGTTCTGTTGTATGAACTTCCTGATGATGGCAATCTGTTTAAACAGAGTGTTTTCGAAAGTGTGGAACCGTTTCTCGAAATCGATTCACGCGATGGTATAAAACGAAAATGTTTTCTGCCATTTTGTAGGTACGAAGCTTCGTTGTCGATTTAAATTTACGGCTCGTAATTTCCGGCGTGCGCTATTTGAATTTCAGTTAACGCCGCGCTCGTCCACGTTCGCGCACTCCACAAAAGAAACACGCAAAAATACCCACACGCACACATACGCACAACTAAACGTAACTAAAAATTCAACAAAGAACTCAAACTCCAACAAATTTAAGCTCGTTACTCACAATCGATAACGAAGTCTCAAATCGCAAAATGGCGAGGATCCGGAACAAAGTCCACATTGCTAACATCCTGTACGAGACCGAAATAGTCTTCCATTTTGAAGTTACATTTAATACATTCTATTTAAATAAAGCAGTTGTTATTAATCGTCGACGATTAGAAAACTAACCAGAGTAATCGTTGTTGTCGATTATGATATAATCGATTCTGAAATTCTATCATTCCAGTGTCGCTTTTCAAGTTAGATGAAAAGGAACTAAATTTCGTTGTCAAAAATACTCGTTTCCGATTTCCAATAATTAGTTAAATGAACATGAAAGTAAACGTGTGATTTGAATTAGAATCGATACGAATGAAGCACAATTAATTTACTGTCCAATTAAATTTTAATTGGTACTTCCTCTGTGCACTTTAAATAGGACTGACATTGATTAATATTTAAGTCAAAGACTGAATTCTTTGAACAAGTGTTATTTATCTTACTCTATAAATAATTTAGTTGGCCGGGAGCCAATCCGAACCGCACAGGACTCGATACCTTAGTCATCGATCTTCTTAACATTCGCATTTATTGATAGTCTCCGGGTAGATCGTTTTACAAAGTACATATTTCGTAGCGAAAGACTCGGTATATAGAATTATTTTCTTAAGGCAGTGCCATAATAAAAATCACTTGTACAAAAATTCGCATCCCCCGAACATAGATAACCCTAAACATTTTAGTTAGGCTTGCATAGAAGGATCGATATATAATAATAATTTTATAGGATATTTTAACAAGTTACAACTCATTATCGATAATCATTTATATTACTCATAGTAATATAAACGACACTAATCGTAGCGGCGCACAAAAGTTGACGGAGAACCTAATTTATAATATTATTAAAATCTACTAGAATTTGTCGGGCGCTTCGTTGACACGCTTATTTTATAAATAAAATTAAAAGAAAGTATTTATAGCAAACGAAACGTTTAATCTCGACTTTAAAAATCGCTAACGTTCGCTGTGAATATTTAGAATGTTCTAGAACTGGTGATTAAATATTAGGGGTGAAAGAATAATGGTACGACAAATCACTTAGCTGCTTTGGAGTATGAATAAATGCTACGAGTTTGGAATGAAAAAATATTGGTTTCGAGTCTTGTGCGATTTAACACTAGATTTACGGGAAACGACAATTCGAGGGAGTTTCAGATTCTACTGTAAACATTAATAAAAATTAATTGCATCAAATTATGCTTCCCTCGGAGCCATTCAATTCTTATGTCAAATATTTTTTAAGATATTTGAATGGAAAAAGTTTTTGAAACACTGTATATTTTAATTTTCTCAAAAATTGCATTTTAGTGAAATTATTGACACGAGTTTACATAAAAATATTTCCAATCAATTACCGTAAATCTAATGTTAACGTGGAATGCATATCAGCGTAGATCAAACATACGTAAATATTACAATTAAACAACAAAGTTGTCAGAACTATTTTCCGTGACGATCGTAACAATTTTCTTGTGAATATTCAATCTTCGAACGGCATTGTTATGTTGAATTTATTAAATCGTTTAACATATACGAAACTGTTAATACAAACACGTGGAATTGGAGAAACTTATGTACGCCGCCTCCCATCTTTCTCAGATCGTAGTCGCAGTAAAAACGAGTATATAATTATTGACAGAATATAATAAATTTCGTTGGTTAACTGTATAAGCCGTAGTGTTTAGGAACTCGCCTTCTAGAAAGCCAATAATCTAATAAACGAAAAAGCGAATCAAATTTCCGTTCAACTTTCCGTTAATTGTTTAAACGGTTAATCCGGTGGAGAGATTAATTTCGATACTAAAAACGATCGAGTAACTATATAAAAAAAAAACGATGAAACGGATGATCCCTTCGAGGACGAATGACCTAAAAGTGTAAAACGATTTTTGCGTTGGGTCGGAACAAATATGTATCATTTTTAGAATTAATACGTGTAACGATTACGATTAACGGACAATTGTCCTTGGATACGTAGAAAAGAATCGACACGATACGGCAAAACAAAGTGTTTCTCGACGGTACGTTGTCAATTGACGAGAATTGAAAATGATATCGATGATCAAACTGACGATGAAATATATAATGTATGTAATTTATGGTATAAAAGAAAAGAAATATGCGTTAATATAAATATTACGAATGATAATCATTGTCAGATATAAACTTTCTCGGAACGAAGGGAAATATTAATACGTACGACTAGGCGACGACAATGTGTATTGACGCTCGGACGGTGGTACGGGGTCCGTTCAGACCCCAACGTAAAGCTCGCATGAAATTGTACGTGACTGATTATTTTTATTGATTTCAATTGTGTTGTTCGTCACTTTGATAATCTTCTGGTTCTGGGTGATGAAATTTCACTGTCACTGTTACCTTCACTGTTTATCAGCTCGCGAAAAAAAACTTCTTTGTTTTCTGACGATTGTTCGTTCTTTTTGAATAATTGCAAAACGTTACACAATACGTTCAAACAACGATGATCTAAATTTGAACAAGGCCCAGAATAACGACTTAACATTCGAAGGTCTCACGGAATACTATCGAGAAACGTGTCCTCTAAGCCGTGTTTTCGTTTTGTGGCGCTGCTTCGCTGCGGGTAGAAACTCGTGAGAATCGTAGGAGGGCAGAAAAGGAAAGGAGGGCCTGATAGTAGGCTCATCAGTAAGGCTTTCTAGCAGGCCCTGCCTTAGACGACTGGGATATTGGGAAGTCGTTCGAAAAATGCATACAGAGTGTCCCGTAAATAGTGTAAGAACCGGAAATGGGGGGTAGCTGAGACGATTCTGAACAACAATTTCCTTTGCAAAAATGTCGGATGGGGCTTCGTTTTTTAATTATTAACGAAAAACACTGACCAATCACCGAGGGGTCGATCGAGCGCTTGTGAGAGCGCGACCCCTCTGGTGGCGAGCACGGGAAGCGACGCCACAGTTTCGTTATCGCTGTAACGTAAACAAGTATCGAAACAGCGAGCGCTTGCGTCTAGAGTGGGGTCGAAACAGACCCGGGCGCCCTCGTCCGAGTGCCAAACGAGCGTCTAATTATGTTAGCGATACGAAAAAAAATGAACGAAACGTTATTCGATAAATTAACCATTTTATCCATCGACGATCAACCATTTTCTATCTCGTCAATTCTTGTCTTTTGTGTGGAATTATCAATTACGCTAACACACTATTCCTCTTACTATTCTAAATACAGCCGTCCTTAAGAAACGTTACCCTACTTTTCAAGGGGCAGAAGAATGGAAAAAGGCAGTCTTGGGTTGCGAGGTTCTTCGAAACTAAAGTCTCCCGTTCAGAAGTTGTCGTTGAATTTGAGATATGAAATACTGGAAATGTGATACGATAGATTTCTACGATTAGAAATAGATTTTTCGTTCGTTGTATTCTGTTCAGAAACGGTTATGATCGTTCATCAATAAGTGAATTATTCTTCGTTGTTTACTGCATCGTTCAACGACGTACTCTGAATAGGAGACTCGCCATCAATCGTTGAACTTTACGAAAAATGAGGTGGACCGATATTTAATAAAATCGGCAGATCGATAGATCCTTTTGAGAGTTGAAATGCATAGAGTGGCCAATCTGCGAGGAATTACGGGAGCTTTTGAAACGTATTTGCGTCGCACAATCCACCGTCGGCCTTGTACGACGACTTTCTTCGAACATCTCGTAATGTTAAATTTATATCCCAGAACCGTTTAATCTTGTAAAAAAGAGGTCTCCATTCTTCTTTGCATAAAGATTAGAATTGCAAATCGCGACGAGGGGTACGAAAAACCGTCGCGCGCTATCAGATCGACGATAAATATGGATACGATGGTGCTGGAAATCATTACTACTTGCACTAGATACGTATAGGGTATAATAATAATTGTAGATCGTTCGTTTGTACTTTTCTGCCGGCATTGTCAACGCGCAGACTCGCGATCGTTTGTTACGTTGTCAAAGGAACATCTAACCAGCATAGTTTCTAAATAAAAAAAATATATATATATATAAATCTCGCGTTTCTACTTATACGGTTACGAGCACGCAAAGATTCTTAGTTCTCTTTTTCTTACGAGCGTGAAACGTAGCGTTGACGAGTTTACATTGGCAGACGAGCAGAGGAACTTTATTTTGTTTTAGGAACGAACAAAGGGCGAACGAATTTATTCTTATATCCGTGTAGAATTAATATTTTGCTTTGTACATGATTTTAGTCATGTAGCCGTGGAAATTATTATTAGCGTTATTTGTTAGAAACCAGAACTTTTAGGGCCCAACGGGCCCGGAGCCCGCTGGGCGAGGATCGACGAGGCCACAGACGTAAAGATTTATTTTTCCGACTATCGTTCAAACAATCGAATTTACCTCGGTTCTACGATTCTATCGTATCATAAATCATCGAGTCTGTGGTCCTTATTAGTAGACTGCGGATGTTTATGCAAATTTTTATTAATAGAATTAATGAAACGGAAGCTTCGCAGAGGGCTCAACCCCTAAATATAATAATTCGTATCTTACTTTAAGTATTTCTTATATTTTTGCATATTAAATGCATTCTGTAGTTTTTTGAGGATTAAAATTTCCCATAAATGCATAAACATCCGCAGTCTACTTATTAGTATTGGCTGTCAGCGGTTGTTTCTCAGCCCGAGGGAAACTTTGATTGCGTGTTTGTTACGCGCACCGACACACGGTTCCGGTGTGTGTGTGTGTACTTTCACACGCGAAACGATACAAATGCAAATGAACGCTCCTAACGTTCTCAAAGAGGATCGCGGAGTTGCAGATATTTGGCCTAACGCGAGAAGTCTCTGTCGCTAGTATTTCCTCCTGGTGCACGGACCCGTAAACGGAGGAATGAGAGTTAACAGAAAATAAGTTGGTCAATCGTGGGTTCCAAAAGCGATTCCGTGGATTGACATGTGTTCAATGCAGTGACGTAGGAACGTTATCCTTTAATGAAAGCGAAGCGTCAACGATTAAATGAAATTCTTGCACGGAACGAAATAGATTGCCATGAACGTGACAACAGTTTTTTGTATACCTGTACATGATACGCAGTCAAAAGTATATATACATATATATACTGTATATGTGCATATATGTGTATATGTACTTTTATAGAAATTACACTATTAAGGAACGACAATTTACAAATTAAAATAAAAATTTTATCAAAATTGTAGCAAACTTAAAAGTAAAGGAGCAACTATTAAAGTTGGTTTGTATGGATGGGCGCGTGTATGTGTGTGTGCGTGCCTTTATTTAATTAGGACGTAACGGCGGTGAACAGTATTAGTCGTTGAATAAAACTATAGTAGTAACGCTCGAATGATTCTTCGCGACCTGTTCCTACGTTGCCAAAAAAATCGACAAGAGAGAAGCAAAGTCACGAATCGTTACAGTATGGAAATTAATCGTTACCTTCCATTTAAGGCGTGCGCGCGTGTGTGTGTTAAAACGAAGAAGAAAACTATCGTTACATCGCGGTGCTTCGACCATTCTTTCGACAAGCTGTTTACGATCAATGAAGAAGGACGTAAACATAGTAATTCGTCGCTCACGAAAAAAAAGAAAAGGTAAAATGTCTCGAAT